GGAAACTGAGGAGGACCTGAAGTGCTTGCTGCAGAAGGTCAAGGACTGCAGCCTCCTATATGGATTGAAGCTCAACATCAAGAAAACAAAGATTCTCACCACTGGGCCAATTGGCAGCATCAGTATGGATGGTGAAGAGATTGAGATAGTTAACAGTTTTAGTTTACTTGGCTCCACAATCAACACTCTTGGTAACAGCAGCCAGGAAATCAAGAGACGAATTGCATTGGGAAAGTCGGCTGTGAGGGACCTCTCAAGAGTACTGAAGAGCAACGACATCAGGCTGGAGACTAAGGTGTGCCTGATCAGGGCTACAGTCTTTGCAATTACATGCTATGCATCAGAGAGTTGAACAGTGAATAGGGTTGACAGAGAATTGATGCCTTTGAGCTGTGGTGCTGGAGAAGAGTGTTGAATATACCATGGACTGCAAGGAGAACAAACAGGTTTGTACTGGAGAAGGTGAGCCGGAATGCTCCTTGGAGTCAAGGATTCTGAAGCTTCATCTGACATACTTTGGGCATGTTGCAAGGAGGGACTGGTCCTTGGAGAGGGACATCATGTTTGGCAGAGTGGAGGGGCGGCAAAGGAGAGGAAGACCTTCGATGAGATGGATCGATTCTATGACTGAAGTGGTGGGAATAAGTGTGTTTGAGAAGGTTAGGTTGGCACAGAATAGAACAGCGTTTAGAGCTCCTGTACATAGGGTCGCTATGAGTCGCAAAGGACTTGATGGCACATAATAACAAAAACAACAATGTTATTTCTTTAAGAGGCAACAGTTGCAGCACATTTCTTAAAGGGTTCATTTTTTGTTGTTGTTGTTACTAAATTTCTTTTCCATTTATACAGAAAATTCTTCCACCGACATCTGAGAGTCACAGAGCTTTTCATAAGAGGTGGATCATTTTCTTTTATAAACTTAAAATTAACATGCATATTTCATTTCAGAACAACTGATCATTAACTGATTTCAAGTTTATTTGCATCTTTGTCACCATCCATATTTTTCTCAGATTCTGCATTCAGAGGTTTTCTTGAATAGGTTTATCCGTAGTGCTGTAATGGCCTTTCCTACAGTCTTCCTCTTTCCCAAATGTATTATTTCCTACAGTTGGCTGAACATCAGCAATGTTAGGTATTAGGCAGTGATGCCTGTCCATGTCCCATAAATTGTAATTATAATTAGCTCTGTAATTTGATAATGGATTTGGATTTATTGGCCTGTAGATGGCAGGCTCTTCCCTTTTAAAAGCAAACTCAGTTTCACGGTGTCACGCTGTCTGGGTTATTGTTAACATGACTTTTTTAGTGGCTTCTGAATTGCTTTGAAAAGTGTAGGTTCTGTCAAAGCTTTATTAGCAAATATTTGCTGGGCTTTGCTTATATTGCTTCCTTTGGATTCCCACGTCTGCTCACCAAGACTCAGCTGTACTGCAAACATATGATTTATTTGAAACATGTTAAGACAATATTGACCAAACTGTAAGATCCTTCATGGCTCCAAAGACTTTATGCCAGTGACCCTGTGCATGTGGCCCCAATACTGATAAACATGACAGAGAACTGACTCCACTCTGGCACCGGCTTCTCCCCTTGTATGCTGTAGCATTCTGGCATTCATGAGGAATGTTTTAAAATCTTTGAGGCCCCAAATTAACAAATACCACTATACTAAATAATTTCCATCAAGAGTACTTATTTCCACATCCTGATAATTCTCACACTCAACCTTCCCTAAGGTTTTTCCACACTTGATGCATAATTTTGCATTGACTGGAAGGAAGAATTCTTGAGATAACTTCATGTTTCTACAAAGAACATAAGGAGAATCTATTCTTGCCAAATCTGGAACAAAGAACTTCTACTTTTTATAATTAATTAATTAATAATGAATAATATTTTTTGAGGGAAAGTATTGTGGTTTTATCCCAGCTATTTTCATCTTTTTACTTACATTACCAAGACCGTATCTTACAGATAAGTGAGAAAGAATGCAAATAGTAAAAGGTCTTGAGTTCTACAAGGAAGTTCCTGGACCTACCATGAGAGTAACAGGAAGCACTTGGCGGTGTCTGTGTAGGGATTTGATCCAATAAAAGTAATACTTTAAAATTAATTTGATCTAAAAAAATTAATCTGATCTATATGTTCAATGTATAAGGATGACAGCAGAAAAATTGATGGCTTTGAGTTGTGATGTTGGAGAAGAGTACTGAATATGTCATGGAATGCCAAAAGATCGAATAGGTATTTCTTGGAAAAGGTGCAGCCAGAGTGCTTCTTTGTGACAAAGATGGCAATGCTTCATCTCTCATATTCTGGACATGTTGCTAGGAAAGGCTATTCCTTGGAAAGGAATATTATGCTTGGGAAGATGGAGGATCAGCATAAGCGAAGAAGATTCCCAATGAGATGGACTGACAAGGTGACTGGAGCACTGAGCTCAAGTGTTATCAGAGATGGTGAGGAAGGCACAAGATAGGACAGGATTCAGATCTGTTGTTCATAGGGTTGCTCTGAGTCAGACTTGATTGCTGTTGTTGTTAAGTGCCGAGTCGCAGGCGCCTCATAGTGACCCTATGAAGGAGAGTCCTTGACACTTGGGTGCCTTTCATCAGACTTGATTAGATGGAACCTAATAGCAACAACAACAAGAGCAACAAGAACAGTTCTACAACTCATTGCTGGTGAGTCAGAACTGACTCATTGCTGACCCTCAAGTGGGTTCTCAGGGGCTATAAATCAATTTGGGGATTTATTGTTTCTGAAAACCTTCCAGAGGGTCAGTTAAGAGAACATATTATACAATATCAAATTATACAGCAGGAGATGGAGCAGCTGGTAGATTTGAACTGCCTGCCTTTGCATTGGCAGGACAACTCCTTACTCACTAGGTCACCTAATTAGAAAAACACTAGAGGAACTGGTCAGAAAATAATTTTATAATATAATTTATAAAAAAACCTAGGTACTAGGGAGAAATGATGACCTTTATTATGATTCATATGAGACACATATTTTGAAGGAAGAAGGAAGATGTATTAATACACGTTATTGATTTCCTTTTGGTTTACTCTCTTAGAACAGTAATTCTAGCACTCCTGGATGACATTAATGGATCTTAAAGCACTGATGGCCTAGTGGTAAGGAGGGACACTGCCAACCCAATGGTATGCAGTTTGAATCCACCAGCTGCTCCACAGGAGAAAGCTGAGCAGTCTCCTCCTTTGAGATTCACAGCCTCTGAAAACATGCTGGAGGGTCAGTTATGAGTTGGTCCTGACTCAACAGCATTTAACAACAACCTGGGATGGATTTTGTTCTGATCATTTGTTCTCCCTTGTAAATGGAAAACACTTATATTAAAGATTCTGAGACAGCCTCTGTAAATTAGCTATTTTTGTTTACCCCAAATTTAACTGACCAGATCAATCTTCTATTATGAAATATCTAATTATTTGCTCCAGGGCACACTGTTTGAGAGCAGTAGCCTAGAAATGAAATGAATATTTCAATTAGCCTTTGTTGTTTGTTAGTACAGCTGCTTCTCCTTTATCTGTCAGTTTGTCAGGTTGAGGCGGCTTGAGCGTTGCTGTGATGCTGGAAGTTCTGCCACAGTTACTTCAGATACCAGCATGGCCATCTTCAGCAGATGCCAGCAGAGCTTCCAAACTAAAACTGACTAGGAAGAAAGGCCTGGAGATTTACTTCTGAAAATTAGCCAATGAACATTTTATAGATTCATAATAGAACACTGTCCAACTCAATTGTTTTTGACACATTGTTAGGAGGAATCAATCACTGGCAGAAGACATCATGTTCAGTGAAGTAGAGGACCAACAGGGGCAAAGGCACAATAGCTGCATCAACAGGTTGGAAAAGGCCAGTGATATTAAGGATATGGAAAGGTCAACTGGATGACCACATGACTGACATCTTTGAACCTTGACTTGGAATTTATTTTTACAACTCAATCCCTTGCCTTATTATACTCTTCCAGGGTAGGCACGGTTTTTAATCTTTACTAATAGAGTCCTTGGAGGTAAATTGGAATTCTACTTTCTTTAAACTTTGAGAAGACTCATGTCCCCACAACTCTCGCTATTCCAGCATTTAGCTAACGTCACTGTAACTACTCATTTTTGACTGTTAAACTGTAAGCACTGTAAACTATATATATACACACTCAGCAACACTGGCTTAGGTAAAGAGTAATAATTACATAATCCTTAATAAGATTAATTTATTATTACAAAAGTACATTTCTGACGTAAAATACCTTAACATTATTTATATCAGATGATATTAGTAGAAAATAAGGGGTATGAACGACTTAAAATGCTTAAATATTTATACCATTAGTTCTATGAAAGCAAGTAAGTACCATTGTCAATTTTAGATGGATTGATTTTTCTGTAATATAACCAATCATCACAATACACACTGAGTAACAAATACACATATGATTTTTGGATACGTTTTGCTATTTGGTAATGACTCCATTTATTCATTCAAAAGGTGTGTTTCAGAAAGATTTCATGTAAATAATACTTTTACACTCTAAGGGAGCTCTGGTGGCCTAGTGGCAAGATGCTGCACTGCAATCCCAGGTGTACGCAGTTCAAATTCACCAGATGCTCTGCTGGAGGACGGGGCAATCTCTTCCTGTACCAGTCAGATCTGATTTGACGGTACATGTAAAAATAATACAATAAAAATGAAAAAAAAAATAGCATTTGATTAGAATATATTTGAACTCAACTTCAAACATATTTGAAATTAAATCCCTCTTTGTAATGATGATGCTCTCATACTAACTCTCTGTAGGACGTAATCAGAACACTCCTACTAAAATGGTCGTATCAAGAAAATGAAAAATCCTTAATAAAATCTAATATACAACTTCTGAAAAAAATTATCAGAAAGTGCATAAATCATAAGTGCAGTGTGTTATTAAGAAGCATCTTGGCAAATTGAGAAACTAAAAAATTACTTACAATAATTTTCTTACAATCCTTTCCCCTGCAGAGCTCTGTGTAGGTAGAATATTGCACATATATAATCCAGCTTCCAATAAAAACTGCCAGCCAGGAAAAGAAGAGATATTTCATCCGCACGTAAGAGAAGCGAGCCTGTGAGTGAAAGAATACATAACAATCATTCATTCAGCATCAAGTCAACATTCAGTGTGCTAGAACATGATTCTCCCCCCCCCCTTTTCTTGGAAGGACTCAATATATATTCTAGGCTTTCATATGGCAATTCTCCTAGAACAAAGTGTACTTTCACTGAGTGCAAACAGCACTAGTCTCAGAAAAGGAAGTTCCTTGGTTCTGCCAAAGAAAAAGGGAACAAAATACCCTTTAAAATGTATAACCTTTCAAATGCCACCATCGTCAAAAGCTACTTACTAAGCACAAGTCCATATGCCATGCTGCATTGGGTAGTGTGTAAGATCAGGTAAAGAGAGGTACAGCTCCCATTTTCTAGCAGTCTACAAAAGTTCTTTCCTTTTTGAAATAAAAATCTTCAGGTCTTTATAGATAGTCATAGTAAAAATAACATCATTTTTGAGAAGAACAGAAAATTCAGTTATTTGTCTAGTGTCTCATAATGAGGCAATAAGTACAAGAAAAATAAATTCTACCTTCACTTCTATTTCTCTATTGTTTCCAACAGGAATTTATATTCAACCAACTAAATACGCAACAGATACGGTAGAAATTGGGGAGAATGCTGCAACTATTAAAAAGCAATGACTGGAGAGGAAGGGTTAAGATATCTTAAAAAACAAATCACTCCTTGTATGCCAACTTGTAAAACCACACAATAGGATCCTCTCTGTATTGTTCTGCTTCCAGGACTCTGGCATTCAACTGCAACTTGGACCGGCTGGTGCCTTTTCTCCAACAAATGACATCTCAAACAGTTTAATTTTCAAAAGTTACAGATGGTCAAGATAATCTGACATTTCTTTTTTGGGTCTGATGTGCCGATGGTCTGATTTTATAAGCAGTAGCATTTAGGGCTACAGAGAGAATTGAGCAGAATAAATTAAAGTTATGTAAACAAACAATGACAAGCTAGTTTTGCTTTTACAAACAAGCCAGTTTCTCACACTAGGAAACAGTGGGATACTGTGAACACTAAGAGCATGCAAAACAAGAAGAAAGAGATGAAAGAGACAGAGTGCACCTGGAGAAGACAATGAATGTAAAACGAAAAAAGGCCCAGGAAATACTGGATTCTGTTGGGCCTATTTGTAGTTAGATATCTGTCTTTAAGAGGCTCACAGATAGTGAATATGAATACTAAAAAGCCTAAGTACAACACATTCATAGTTAATTGACAGCTCTTTCACTATTAAATATAAAATGCGACTCAGCACAAGATATTTTAGTGTATCTCTAAATGAATCTTGAATAAATATATATATACATATATATATATCTCAACCCAAAAAACCAAACAAATCCAAAACACAACCCAGACATAATTACAACTTAAATAATCTAATAAGACATATACCATAGGGTATGTATGAAAGATATTTAAGATGTTCTGGATCCTTAAGAAATTTGGTCACCAGATAGAAAGTGATATGAAACAGTATCATGAGGCTTAAGTAAGATTTAATGGGATAATACCTATAAGAACATTAATATAATCACCCGGCACAAAGTATATACTTGATGGATGCAAGCTAAACCAATGTGCAAGGTACTGAGCAAGAAACCAATAATGCTACCACTATGATTTGATTTTGTCATTATAGTTTCGTTCTTGCCAAAATGAAAACAAATCTCAATCTGATCAAGTGTTAAGTTCCACGTACAAATTTACAGGAAATACGGGAGACAGAAGAACATGTTAACTGACACAAAGGGAACACAGTCGGCCAACTGCAGACCTTGGGAAACTGCAACATAAATGACCCTGTTTCTTCAACAAATAAATTACAAGAGGGGGCCAAAAAAAAGAAGAGGAAGGGAAACCTAAAGGTTAATACATTTATTTTAAAAATAAACACAATACGTAGATTGTTTTTTAGTCTTGATTCAAATAAATAACTATATAAAATTGACACTTAATTTAAAAAATAACTGATGGGGGGAAGCTAAGGAAAAGTTTACACACAAACTGTGGAAAAGGATGGAGAGGGAAGCTGAGGTTAGCAGATGGATGGATAGGGTGAAGGAAAAGGAGTGAGGATTTGATGAGACATAGTAATGACATGAATAAATTCTAAATAATGTTATAAGTCTAACATTGTAATTATGTTATAATAATAAATTGTTATAATACTATCATATTAATTATAAATAAGGTTATATATTAATCAATCCCACATATAATGAATATATATGAATTATAAAATGAAAAGAAATTTAAAAATGATACTTGAATAATTAACTGAACAATGACAAAATATTTAATATTATAGGAATATTTTTTTAAAATTTCCTAAAAATGATTGGTGTTTTTCCTCCATGATAATGTTTAAAGGGCCTCTCATATATGTACATCTGTATGTGTATACTTGCATAAGATCTTTGGTGATACAGTGGTTAAAGGATCAATCACTAAATGAAAGGCTAGTGATTTAAAGGCACTAGCCACTCCATGGTAGAAAGATGCGCAGTCTGTTTCTGTAAAGATTTACACCTATGGAAACGATATAAAACAATATGAGGACACACCTCACACCATACACAAAAACTAACTCAAAGTGTACCAAGGACCTAGGACTAAAATCAAGGACTAGAAACTTCATTAGAGAAAAGCTTGGAAGAACTTTAGAAGCACTAATCTACAACATGAACCAGTCTTCCAAGCATCCTGAAAAACCTATAACCTAGAAAGGATAAAACAGATGAATGGGACCTTCTAAGATTAAAATCCCTATGCACATCCAAAAACTGCTCCAACAGGGTAAAAGGGGAAGCCACAAATTGGGGGGGGGGGATTTGGTAATGACATGTCTGATAAGGGACTTATATCTAGAATCCATAAAATACTCAAGCACCACAACAAGACAAAAGTAAACAATCCAATTGCAAAATGGGCACAAGATATGAACAGACATTTCACCAAAGAAGACATACAGATGGCCAACAAACACATGAAGAAATGTTCAAAATCCCTAGCTCTAAGAGAGATGCAAATCAAAACAACTATGAGATAACTTCTCACCCCAGTAACAATAGCAAAATTCAACAGAGCAGCAAACAACAAATGCTGTTGAGGTTGTGGAAAAACTGGAAGCCTTATTCACTGTTGGTGGGAGTGTAAAATTGTGCAACCACTATGAAAGACAGTATGGCGCTTTCTCAAAAAGTTGAAACTAGAAATACCATTTGACCCATTAATTCCCCTATTGGGAATACACCCTAAAGAAATCAGAACTGCCACCCAAACAGATATATGCACACCTATGTTTATTGCTGTGTTTTTCACAATAGTAAAAAGATGGAAATAAGCCAAGTTCCCATCAACAAATGAATAGATAGAGAAACAGTGGTATATTCTCACAATGAAATACTATGCAGCATAGAAAAACAAGGAATTAATAAAATATTAATACAAAACGGGTGGCCCTGGAGGATACGTTGAGTGAAATATTTCAGTCACAAAAGGACAAATACTGCATAATGTCACTGTTACAAAACAGGACTGACATGGGAGAAAACTAAGAAAAGAGGTGATAAGTAATGTACACTGCATTGAAACAGATGAAACAAAGAACTGTTTAAAAGGGATATATGATTAGGTATTATTTGCATGACAAGAGTCCAGAATAAGAGCTGCATAGCAAAGTGGACTGGGCATAGGGGAGAAAATTGTGCAACAATGAAGGAATTTTTTTCAAAGAAAAAGAGAGCTGGGGTGGGGGTAGGGAGGAAAATGTGCAACAATGAATGAATGTAAATCTAAGCCCTCTATAAACTTCCGTTAAAATCTCAAAAAATGTTTAAAGAAATAAGATGAAAAAAGAGTTGCATTTTATTCATGTACATTTTCTTTTTGCTCCCTCCCTCCATTCAACAAACTTTGTGACCTTGTGATTTCCCCCATTTACTACCCTCAAATCCCGTTCCTTCCCCTTCCCTCTCTGTATATCAATCCACATCTTATTCGTTATCCTGTTTTTACAATAATGGTCTTAAAAAGCATTTGATCTTATGAGCCTGAGTTAGTTCACTCAGCGTAATGCTACCTAGCCTCTCCCATGTTAACAGTATTTTTCCAAAACATTGTTCCTGTGTACTGCATAGTATTCACAGTATTCCATTGTATGAATGAACCCTAGTTTCTCAATCCAGTCATTTGTTGATGGACATTTTAGCTATTTCCATGTTCTTGCTATTGTGCATAATGCTGCCATTAACTCTAGTGCATCAATCTCCATTTATGTCTCAGTTCTGTTTTCCTTGGAGTATATTCCTAACAGTGGTATAAATGGGTCTTATGGAGTCTCTATATTCAGCTTATTGAGGACACACATCACTGCCTTCCAGAGTGATTTTACCATTTTACAGTCCTTCCAAAAGTGTATGAGAGTTTCACTCTCTCTACACTCTCTCCAACATTTATTACTTTCAGTCTTGTTAAACTTTCTTTGCCACTGCTACTGGGGTGAGATGGTACCTCATAGTTTTGATTTGCATCTTTCTTATTGTTAATGATTTTGAGAACTTCCTCATGTGTCTTGTTGGCAATCCAAACGTCTTCCTTTTGCCCATTTTGTAATTGGGTTATCAGACTTGCAGAGGCTCTGCTGATATTGTTATTATGTGCCTGCACCTCAAAGTGACCCTAAGCACAACAGCTGTGAACCCTGGCCTATCCTGAGTTAGTCTCACCATCCTCAACACACGTAACCCCATTATCCCAGTTGCTGTGTCAATCTCTCTTACCCAGGGTCTTCTCCTCTTGTGCTGTCCCTACCATACTTCCAAGCATGATGTCCTTCTCCAAGAACTGGTCCCTCCTCGCACCATGCCTGAAATATGTGACACAGAGATTCAAAATCCTTGCCTCTAAGGAGCAATTTGGTTCTCTAGGTCCAATCTGTTTGTTCTCTTGGCAGTCCATAGAATGTTCAACACTTCTCTCCAGTACAACAGCTCAA